AGTTAGAGTTGCTGTTGGTCTTCCGTGGATGAGTCAGGAGACTGGCTTAATTAGAGCAGGAGTCTATGTTGTGAGGCAACAGTGGGAAACAAAAGACCGTGGGTGGGGAGGATTAGAAATTAATTCTTCCCACCTCTTAGGATTGTTTGCCGATGAAACATGCACGCTTTGAAACTATAAAGTGCTTCCAGATCAAAGCCTTGGTGCTATGTGATGGGAACTATATTCGAGGAGGGTCTCTCAAGTCACCTGGTAGGGAGCAGGCCCGGTCTGTGTTCGTTCTGAACGAAGACCTCTGGGTAGAAGTTATGGAAAAGCAGGTACTGGTTTTTAGCAGAACCTTCTAATCCAGCTGTTGGCTCTAACAGTGACTTGAGCTGGATTCAAAGCAACATGCTCCCTGTCCCTGTCCAAAGACCACGTCTCAGGGCTGGTACTGGAGCGATCCCGTCATTGGTTGGAAGAGGTCTTCAGTTTTTGAACCTTTATCAGATGGAAACACACACTGGCAGCCCACTTGAAATACAGATAGAATCAGAGCTGCCCAGGATGGAGCAGGAGAGAGGGCTTGCCTACCTCCTTCCACTCCTGGTGGCTCTTGAGGGTACTGCTCAGAGTCTGAAGACTGGGTGGCTGAATAACCTCGATGGGTGATGTTGTGAAATGGGGCTTGGTTGAACTCCTTGGGTAGGAGTGGAGCATGATGGAGTTGATATTTGATATTTAAGGGGGGAGGTCTTTCTCATGGTGGTAGGAAGGAACGGAGGGGAGAAGAGCACAGTGGCAAGTGTAGATGAAGATGGTGGCCCTCGGCACCGAGAGGGGAAGACGCTGGAGAGGATACAGAGGATGTAGATGGGAGTGGATCAAAGTTTCAAGCCTCCGAGAAGGGAATGTTGGGAGGGGAGCATGCTTTGTGAAGAAGAGGATGAGTTTAACTTGGAATGTGTTGAGTGTGACATGACAGAGCTCTCTGAAGCAAATGTCAGGTAGAAAGTGGGATCTAATGGGCCCAGAGCTCAGGTAAGTGTGGGAGCGCAGGGGTGTGGTCATGTACTCCGGAACGACAGCAGATGTCTTCTCCAAGGAGAAGCTGTATGAGAGGAATATGGAGACCCAAGCACAAGACGAAGAGGAAAGGGAGCCAAGGAGAGAAGTCAAAGGGGGGTTGCAATGAGAGTAGGAAGAGAAGGAAGACGGTCTGGTTCCAGGGAAGGAAGGAAGGAGGGTGTTGTAGGACCGGGCAGGAGGCATCAACCTGTTTTACTAGTGGCCTCATTGTGTGGAGTGTGCAATCCCCTGGGCTACTTTTATTTTTTTAATTTTAATTTTTATTTTTAACTAGGCCCCACGCTAGGCTTGAACTCACGACCCTGAGATCAAGATCTGAGCTGAGATCAAGAGTCGGATGCTCAACCGACTGAGCCACCCAGGCACCCCATCCCTGGGCTACTTTTATGAAGCCCAGCTGTCAGCCTGAAATTTTATTTAGTAGAGAGACCTAGAGATGTCCTTAAATTTGGCTTTGAGGAGACTGGCTTTGCACAGATGAATTAGGGCATCTCTGGTAGCAGCGGGGCTCGGTCGTAGATGGAAAAGCTCCGACGGCCATTGTATTTTGCCTCAAGGAAAAGGACATCTAGACAAGGGGCTGTGGCACAGGGATGAGATGGAGTGGACTTGGAGCAGAGGCTGAGGGGCCCTTGCTGTCCTCTGACTCAGGCCCACCCCCAAGGCCCTCCAGCAAGCGCAGCTTTTGAGACCAACCAAGGATGTATTACGTTAGAGGTCTAAAGAGAGTGTGGCTCCTTCCCTTGGACTCTCTCTCTCGTGCCAGTTTGGTTTTGCCCCAAATCCCTTAAACTGCAGGCCGAACTTTAGATTCTATACTGAGAAAAAAGGTTCTTGGGCATAAAGATTTGGCAGAGTTAATGCATCATGGAGGGGTCTGAACCTACGCATAGTCTTGGTTTGGTTTTCTTTGGGTGGATTAGAAGCCAAAACTAGTTGATTCACAGGAGGGCCAATGATGTCTAAAGTCAGAAGGGGAACAGGAAGGAGGCTGGCTGAGGATTAATCAGGCCAGGCCATGGTACAAGGCAGGGGACAGAGCGGGAGTGGGCACCATACAGGACCAGGAGACGCCGGACAAAGACCTCTCTGCGCATGTTTCGTAGAGAACTGTGCACCCCTTTTCTTAATTTGAGTTCCTTGCTTAAAAAAAAAAAAAAAAAAGGTATATGGTCGAGGTTTGACTAAGTACAGTGAAGATCCTTGTTTTGCACCCTGAGTGGAGACCTTTCGGAGAGATGCTGGCTACATCTCACTGAACAGTTTACTACACTGGCCTTCCAGAGTGATAGTAACCATGAGATGGTTTGCACTGAAGACTTCAGAAGCAACAGGGCATTTTTTGAAGTGGGGTGGGAGGAGCAAAACCATGTCCGAAATAGTCCGACGCGGCCTCCATTGGTAGAGCGCACCGTTCTCTAGTAGAGAAGTAGCACAGGACACGAGGTAGGGATGGGGTGGGGAGGAAAACCATGTGGAAAACAGTTCTGTCTGAATCTCTGTTGGGATTTGTGCAGGGTTCATTAAGGCAGAAAGCTCCTGGAATAGGCTCATGTTGCATGACCAAAGACTGAGTTCAGTTCTTGTATCTCCTTAGGCTAGAAGTAGTGTGATCTTGGAAAATTAATTTAGTCTCTGAGTCATAGTTTTCTCAAGTGGAAAGTGATAGAGGTATCACTTGTCACTAATTAAATGGTAGATCATGTGAAACACTTAGAGGCCTTCAGTTGAGATCAGAATAATTTAGGTTTTTAAATATATGCAAGTCTGACTGCCTCATTACTTTTATCAGAAACCTAGAAGCAGAATGAGTTAAAAAAAAAAAAAAAACAACTTGACAACAAAAGAAACCCATACAGATTAGCAGGTCTTTTCATAATTCCTTCAGATGTTCTGTAGGTGGTTCCTTTTGGGCAGTCGAGGAAAAGGAAGTGGCAGAATGAAATGGGGGGCATGACGGGGGGACGGAGGGAGACATGGAAAAGGAGCCCTTGAGTAGGCAGGGAGAGAGACTGGTGCCACGAGAAGGCAGAGAAGTATAATAACGACGGACAGTCATGTTTTCGAGAGGGACAGTGCAGTCCTTCCTCCCTGTTGGATGTCAGTGTGTGGGGTTGAGGGACGGGACCTGAGGACAGGTCATTGTACTTGAGAGCAGTTTTATTGGCCTTATTTGTTTATGCTTGGCTAATGGGAAGCGTTAACTTGGTAGTAAGTGCCAGGTGCCTGTTTATCTCATTTAATCTTCACGCCATCCCTGGGAGGTGGGTCCATTGCCGTCCTCAGTTTATCGTTGTCTGCAGAGCCCTGGAAGAGGCTCCAAGAGGGTTAAATCAGGTCCTGCATCCAGCCTGAGGTGGAGAAGCCAGGCTCCGACCCCTGCATGACTGCAAAGCCTGACAGACAACAGGCTTGTCATACCAGCCCCGCAGGAGCCTGGAGCCTGAGGCCGTGGCTGGAGTGGCGGCCAGACTGACCACAGGCTCTAACACAGGCATGGGGGAGGAGGAGAAAGGTTGGAGACTCAAGTCACAGGCAAGCGACTTTTCCCCAGAAAGGCCTCCTAAAAGGGGGAAATGCAGGGTGCTGCAGGAGAAAGGAGTAAAGACTCCGCCCAGGGGGACTGGCCTGGGCCCTGGGCCCCTCCTCTGTTTGCCCTTTGGTGCCTCTTGTCAGCATGCATGTGGGACTTTTTTAGGACTGAGCTGTATACTGAAGTGATGTCTTCCAAGTTACAGTTCATTATCATGATGGGAGTTTGCCAGGTTGGGATCATGAAGGAGGAGGTAATTTCCCCCTCCTTCCCTGTGTGGCTTCCCTAAGATTTTGGGTGTGTGGGGGGTGCTCATCACTGATTCCAGGTAGCACATAAATAAACTGATAAGAACACCCCGCATGCCTTAGAGATGCCCACCACTCTGGATTTTTCAAAGCACAGGCATATCTACCTCTAATGATCTTCTGCTCCCATCTTGTGTTCTTTCTGCCCCCACTCTCCATCTTGGTTTCCCAAAGGAGCTGTCCTGTGTGGCTTTTTTTGTCTGACTCGATTGCTATCCTAGACGCAGATGCAATCTTACCTTGAGGAAAAGCTCTCATCAGCATGCTGAAAGTCCATGTGTACCTCGGGACTGGCTCCCCCAAAGTCGGTTGGCTCTCTCGGAGGTTGGAGGGTTCCAGGGCTCTTGAATAAAGCAGAAGTAAGAGCTACGCTAAGGACGAGGAACTTGATGCATCGTTTCATTAGTATGAACGAGTAGCCTCTCGGCCTATTTGGGACATTCAGACACTCGAAAGACATTTGTGTGAAGCCATGGGCGTGGGATTGCCCAGCTGGACTCCACCGGGGGAGGGGGCCTTCTGCGCAGTCTGGCCCGTGTTACCGGCCTGCCTCCCACCCGGTGACGGGTGCTCAGGTGGCCAGGGTCCAGGGCAAACCTTATCTGAGGAGAAATCATTCTCCTCGGGAGGAAAGTCCCCTGGCTTCCTGTTCTTGGCCCAGGGGGAGGCAGACCGTTTCCTCAGAAATCACTGTAAAGGAAGTGGCATGAGTCCTTCCTTCGGGAGCCAGGAGTTGACCCTTCTGAGCACTCCCTCCCTCGGAGAAGGAAGAACTGGAAACTAGGCACACGGTTCTTTCCACGGACAGTTATGCAGCCCTCCTGAACCCCCAAACTACCGCCTGCAGGTGTGAGCCTTTCATAAAAGCAAACCAGATGTGCTCCTACCCTTTCCTCAAAGGAAAATGAAAGTGGGCAAATACCTGGCAGTATATTATCCGTGCAGAAACGTGCTGCTTTAGCTTCAGGCTGATTTAAATTAGTAGGGAATGCATTCAGGGGATGAACGTGACCCTAGCAGTAAAAATAAATAAATAAATAAAAGTAGACAGAGGATAGAATTTAAGCTAAGAAAAAGGAGGGGAAAGGAAGTGTTCTCAATTCTTTTTTCTTTTCTTCTTCCTAGCAAGAACCAGTTGAGTCATCTTTGGGGCTTAGTAATGGAGTAAGTGATCTTTCTCCTGAGTATGCCGTCCTGACTTCAGCTATAAAAAATGAAGTGGATAGTACGGTGAACATCATAGGTAAACTGTTTTGACATCTCATTTTTTATCTACACAAGCAGCCCCCTGGGGTCTAAAATTTGTAAAACGTGATTTGAAATAACATAGTCAGTGGGAGGAGGTCTTGGAACCATCTCAACATGCAAAGTTCCAGCCCCCCGGTTTCAGGGCTGAAGAATAAAGGCCCTTGAGGCTCAGAGAAAGGAACTTTTGATGGGTCAGCCTCAAGAAAATAGGCCAAGAGTGACTTCCCAGGAGACTCCAGTAGATGAAATGGGTTTTCTCCCCCCAGTGGCTCATGATTAGCGGTTCTCCATCTTTCAATAAGCGGTCACATGGACAAAAGTGTTATTCTTTGAACTGGGGAATAAGGAGAGGGAAGACTGTCCTCATGGGTCCTCTCAGAACCTGGTCGGTGGCATAACCTGCCACAAAAGTGTCGCTCATCTTACAAATGAAGGAACTGAGGCAGAGACCTGTGGCCAAACGGCATGTTTTGATTCCACAAAGATTCTTGAGCACCTTCCACAGACCAGACTCAGTGCTAGAAATAGGTTGGGGAACAGGACAGGCCCCATCCCTAGTTCCATGGAAGGAGACAGTCCCGAGTTCATGGAAGGAGACAGTAAACAAATACGGCCATAGGTAACTACAGTGCTGGCCTGTGTGGAAAATGCTGCAAAGAAAAGAACAAGGGAGAATATCTGGGGCCAGATTTAGATGGGAGGCTTCTGGAAGCTTCTGGAAGGAGTGGCATTTCCTCCTAAGTGGGTGGGTGAGGGGGAGCCCCGGGACTGCCAGACGCGGACCCCCACGTAGGAACCCCCTTGGAGGGCTAAGGAAGTCCAGAGTGGGGGTGACCCTGGGGAGAGGGCACGAGGGTCTGTCAGAGAGGGATGGAAGGTGGGGTCCTGGGGACTTTTCCGGCCACGGGAAAGGACATTGGGTTTTATTCCTGAACTGCTGGAGGATATGTTTCAAAAAAAAATTTTTTTTAATTGAAGTATGAGAGACAGTCAAGTGCACAACTGTTTTACACACACACACGATGTAGACCCAACCCCTTGGAGGGTTTTAGGCAGGAGGGGGACCAGAGTGAATTTCATCTCAGCCGGATCCCACTGGGCCACGGCGCTGAGTGGATGGTGGAGGCCCTGCGGTGAGCTCGTCTTCCAGCTGCAGCCCCAGAATCCAGAACCAGGCTTTGCCCTCGGGCACCTTGTGGTCCATTAAACTTTCCTCCATTTTGTAGACTGTCAGGGCTTCTGTTGCTGGTAAGAACCAGGGAGATCACGAAGAACTAGGAGAGCCAACCTCCTGTCCAGATGCCTTCACTTCCGGACCCTCGGCTGAGGATGGACAGGAGGCCGCAGATGCTATAAATGTCAGTGTCACGGGCCCTCTTCTCCTGGGTTTTGGAGTTGGGAAGTAGGCTGATGTACGAGGGCACTCCCTTGAACGCTGAGGGCTTTGGCAGAGGGCAGTGTGAGGGAAGGATGGGGGCCTGTGGCTGCCAGGCCGCGCTCCCCTCAGTGTAGCAAAGGCCTCAGAGACACAGTGTCTTCTCACTTCCGCTGGGGAGTGAGGCCTCGCCTGACCAACGCTCCCCTCCTGGGTTCTCATCTGTCTCCGTCTCCTCAGCGGGCAGCCTCTGGAAAGCCTTGGCCATTCAGTCCTGTAAAAAAAAAGAAAAGAAAATGTTTGTCAAGACTCCAGGCACCTTTTCTTAAGATTCAGCTGTGTCGAGTGGGCTGGTTGGTTCTGAGCTCTCCTTCATGTATGAGGTGACTTCAACCTCGGATAAAATGGCGAACAAAAGTCACAGTAGTACAGAGTTTTCTTTACCTTTTTTTTTTTTTTTAAAACACATCTGGTTGAGTCTTTGGCATGTAAATTCTCTGTCAGGTTGATTGTTCTTTGCCCTTTGGTATGATTGCTGCTATTGGGGTTGGTGCTAATTTAATAAGTCGTTACTTCCGGGGCAAAGACGGATGCCCAGTTTGGTTAGAAAATCACCTGCTGGATTAAATGAGTCTCTTCCTTGGCCTAATAATAAAATAATAAAGGAGGGCATAAAAGGAGTTTGAATATCTCTAATTAGTTGGTGGCCCTTACAAAGGTATATAGTAATACACCAAGTGGATCCATGCAAGTATTTTAAAGAAGGGGGTAATTTGTGATCATTGTTAACAGTAGCACTACCTTGGATTTTAAACCCTTCATAGAGCTTTTGTCTTCACTCCCACGGTGACCATTAATTAGCTATCCCTAGCCTCTGTGATTTGTGGACAGAGGTGAGAAACACAGGGATTCTGACTCCAAGGCCATGGTGGAATTTGAGAGATTCTCTCTCGTCCTTTTGAAAATGACACCATTTCTTGCTTTCAGTTCATGTGTCTCTGAGCCCGGAGTTCAGTCCAGTTTTGTCTTCAGGCACCAAGAAAAAAGCTTCCAGGTGTTTTTCTTTCTGCTTTTAGAAGCATGTATGTGGATAAGATTTAAATTGGGAACTGAAATGAGTGTTTTGTAGCAGTTTTTCACATGGTCTTTCGGTTCTTAGCGAGGGAAATGGATTGAAAATCCGTAAGTTAATTCAGCAGAGGCCAGCCGCCCAGTACATTTTTGTTCCAGGCGGGGTGGAGGCTATTGTGAGTGAATTCAGTAAGTGGACAAAACAGTGGCCCCAACCTGGGAACTCTTGCTTGATGGCTGCTGTGGTTTACTTTTATCCTTGCCACGGATGATACAGCAGGAACACGCACACACAGGCACACACTTGTGGCTGTCAGTGGGCTGGCCGCTGGTCTTGCCGTCGTCTTGTCCTTAACAGCTCAAGGCACTTTCCGATTTAGCCAGTTGTGCTGAGACCCCCCAAAAGGAGCGCGGTGTCTCAGCACTTAAGATGTGTCTTCGAATGTTCTGTCTCTCCTGGATGATTAAATGGCCCAGGTGAGCACGCCCAAAGACCCAACCCTGCTTTGCTTTGAAGGGTGGCAGAAAAAAAAGAAAACTCCTTATTTTTATTTTTACTTTTCTTTAGCATTGAATTCTTTTTTGCATATGGTGACTTCTGTTTTGAGGAAGCGGAAGACGCCAGCAACATGTTGAATTGTTCTGACATTAGCCTGTTGGCGTCTTGCCAGGTTAGCTGAGCTGAATTGAAACCATCTCCAGGCCAGTGTAAAAAGTTTGCAGGTGCGGACGCTCAGTCTGACTTGCCTAGGCAGTGCTTTATAAGCCCATTGTGTTTCTCCATAAAAGGTAACCCCACCCTTCAAGAAAGCAAAGATTGCTGTGAACAGGGAGGCTATTCATCATTCCCAAGTCAAGCAAGCAATCCTTAGTGACTAGACTATATAGCCATTAGGAAATAACGCAATTTGGATTTTTGTCTGCCCACAGTGCACCTTATAGGATGTACTTTTTTTTTTTTTTTGTAATGACTTCCAAATTTGACTGACTTGAAAAGTAAAGCTTGAGGAGCTCTTTTAGACAAGCTTAGAAACTCAGGTATCACCAGGGAGGACTTGCAGTTGCAAAAAGAACAGATTCACAATGTAGAGACCACCTTCGGGTCACCCCGAGGGCCTCGTGGTAATGACTCAAGGTTGGCAGCCTCTGACCCCAGAATTCATAATGATTTGCGGATGGCCAGAAGTGATGCTAGGCTGTAGAACTGTGTCTTCATCTTTTTCCAGCCCCTTTGTTCACTCTTCTTTTTTGCTCTTTTTCCTGGTGCTTAAGATGTAAAAAAAAAAAAAAATCCCTCTACAAGATAAATAATAGCTTGAGGTGGATCTTTAGATGGAAGGCCCCCCCTCATTAGGGGGAGGGAGTGAAGGTCTTCCATGCTCCTTCTCGGTGGGCTGTGTGCCGTGCCTTGTGCCTTCTTCGGGGAGGGCTGAGCTCTTCGCCTGTCCGGAGACAAAGCATCCAATTTTACCAGTACTCCTAGAAAACTCTGAGCAATAGGAAACTCCATGTGAGATGTGAAACCCAAATGTCACAATATACCCAGACCTAGAACCGAGAGTACACCTTATTTTTCTTCAGGGGACTGGACCTGGGGAAGCCTGGTCACAGAGGTGAGACTGCATGGGATTCTCTCAGTTGCCATGTGCCAACACGAGCCTTGGCAGCAGTTTGGCTATTGCCTTTCAACCTTGAGAAGTTTTTATTTGCCCAAGAAGCCTGCCATCTTTTTTTATGAGGCTATATATTTCTCACCCTCCCCTCTCCCTTGCCACCACCTCATTTATAATTAACCATCAGCTCCTTCTGTCTCCCCTCATATTTCTCAAATCCAGCCCCTTCTTTCTCTTTTTGATATTACCCCCAGTCACCTTCACTCTTGCCAGGGCTCTCCTTCCATTCTGCCCCCTCCCCATTCATTCTCCACGTGGAGGGATTTTTTTTTTTTTAATTTTTAATTTTTAAAATTTTTTTAAAGATTTTATTTATTTATTTATTTGAGAGAGAGAGAGAGCACAAGCAGTGGGAGGGGCAAAAAGAGGGAGAGGCAGACTCCCTGATGAGTAGGGAGCCCAACGCGGGGCTTGATCCCAGGACCCTGGGATCATGACCTGAGCTGAAGGCAGATGCTTAACCGACTGAGCCACCCAGGCACCCTGGGATTTTGTTTTTTAAATGCCAGCCTCACCATCATGTCACCATTGCCCCTAGATCAAAGACCCGAGTCTCTCTCGTGTCCCAAGAGTCCTGCTACCTGGTCCCTGCCGACCTCTTTTATATTTGTTTTTGAACTTGAATTATTCTGAACATTTTGACTTCCATGGGCCTATCCTTCCAGAAAGCGAAGTGGGCTGTGTGTGTTGCCCTTGTGGAGCGGCCGTGAGGGCTCGTCCACACAGCACAGAGAGACATGGACATTTGGTAGCTCCCTAGCCTCTCTGAGACTCGATTTCCTGAAATATAAAATGGAAATAATAATAATACTGATCCTGCCTACCTCCCAGGGTTGTTGGGAGCACAAAATGAGCGTAATGGAAAAATCACTGTGT